GGCCACGTCATTGTGGCATCAGTTATTTCAACAAAACAGCTATTAATAATTTATAAACATATCATGCAACAATTAAAACAAATGAACAATAAACAATGGTAGAAAAAAGTAAAAAACATTGGTACAAACTGCACACCAAGGAATAAAAGAAAAATATTAGTTGAATAAAATCCCCGTTAACAAACTCAGTAAAATTGTACATTTAATCATTAAAAGAAACAGCAGAACAAAGTAAAACATACAGTAGTAAAATGGGTTACTCAAGTCTCCTCTATGGGCTTCCATTAATTAGTATAATCCGTAATTAAGCAGGTGACGTGGCAGGTCGTGAGCGTAAAAGAAAAATATTCAGAAATTCATAAAATAAGTAGCCAGGATAAAAACAAAAGAATAATAATTAAATTGACATTAAAAGTAATTTTAAAGTTTAAGTTTATCTTAAAGCAAAAGGAAAAGTTTCTAAAATACGTCAGGGGGGGGGTATGAAAATAGTTTCTTTAAAAACCATTGAAATAAAATATAAAAATGATAAATATTTAGGCTCTTATAGTTTAAAAAGGAGACTTCATTTTAAGCAAAGGCCGATGAAATCTCGCAAAAGAATAAATATAAAAATGACTTGCCACCTGGCTTATTCGGCCACTCAGGGATTCGAAGGATTCGAAGCCCAAGAGGGAAACTCGAAAACAATCACTAATAAGTTTGTTTTTATTATTTAACACGTATATACATCATTCTTAGGGCAGCAATGTAAGCGAGGTGTAGCGTGTGTGTGGGCGGGAATCATCTCCAGCGTGTTTGAGCGCCGCCCGCCGGATTACCCAAGGTTCGGAGCAGGATTCGGGACCAAGGATCGGGGGTATCAAGGGGACAGGTAGGGTGGTAGGGTGGAGGATAGGGGGTAGGTACACGGACGTAAGATTAAGAAAAGGAAAGAAATAAGAAAAAGAACGAAAGGGGAAATCTAAGCGAAAGCCAAGAGATGGAAACGAAAGAAATGAGTAAGATGACTTAAAGAAAAGGGGAAAAATAGAAGACGAGGAGATTTGCATAGAGGGGAAAGAATAGAAAGGAAATGAAAACGAGGATAGATGAGAGTGAACGAAAGAAACGAAAGGGGAAGGGGTAATAGAAAACGAAGGAACGTAGGTAAAAAGGCGAAAGAAAACGAAATAAAACAGAACAGGTTTCAGAGAAAAAGTAAAATGAGGAAAGAGGGCGAGGGGAGGAAGGATAGGAGTGGAAAAGGGGAAAAGGAGAGGGAGAGGAAGGAAAGGAGTAGAAAAGGGGAAGAGGAATAGAGGTAAGACAGGGGGGGGAGCTAAGGGAAACAAGGGTAAGGAGGATGATAAAGGAGGGAGAAAGTAGGGGGCATGGTACAGGATGGAGGAACGAGGGGGGGGGGGGGGAATCGGAGACCTCACAACACAGTGTCCTGCTGTATCCTCATTCGGAGGACACAGTGTCCTAAATTGGCATCCTGCAGGGGACACTGTCCTGTGATGGCCTCCTGCAGGGGACACAGTGTCCTGTAGTGACCTGTTGTGGACACAGCTGCTATGGCCTCCTACGGGGGACACCGAGATCTGCTATTAGTTCTTGCAGGGGACAGTGTCCTGTAGTGGCCTCCTGCAGGGGACATTGTGAGATACAATGACCTGTAAGTGAGCTATTGAGCCACATTACCCTCCTGCAGGGAAAAGTCACGATGTCCTCTTGACTTTACTTTTTACTTTTTTCGGTTTTAGTACCAGTTTTACTGGCAATATCAAGAGGATTATTTCATAGCAACATGTGAACTAGTTATGGTAATGTCGCCTTGTTCTCTTCTCTCTATTGCCCTTATCTTTCCTTTATTTTTCTTTCATTCACCCGTTTTCGTTTCGTTTTCGCTCTCCCTCCTCCTTTCCTTTCGTGCCATCTTTCTCTCCTTGCTTTTTTTTATGCATTTCCCATTTTCTCTTCGCTTTCCTTCTCTATTTCCCCTTCCTTTCTCCCTTTCGCTTCCCTTTCCCGCCTTTCTGCCTCTTATCTCATTCGTCCCTCTCCCTCCCATCGTCTTTTCTGTCTTTTCCCTCTCCTGCTGCCTCGCCTCGCCTCGCCTCCCCTTCATACTCACTTCTTCGCAAATTCCTGATACATTAGAGTTCATTACAGTTCTTGTATTCTTGTGTAAAGATATAAATAACGATTTAGAATAGATTTTAATTATCATTAAAAAATCAGAAACATAAATTTAACCAGTAATTACAGAGCCTCGGGGCGAATGTAGAGTATCCTCACCCCCGGGAGATGAATTGTCTCCTAGCACAATCTGGCGAGACCTTTTAAAACTTTTTGCATGCCTGCGGGGGAGTAAGAGTGAGAGGGAGTTTACGACATTTCATCGTCGTGGTCACGGCAAAAACAGTGATTCACGACACACTCACCTTTCCTTCCCCTGTCCTTTTTTCCTCTCCACTTATTTTCCTTTCATATTCCTCACTTTTCTTCCTTCTTA